CATCATATACTTCTAATTTATTGGTTTGTTCCACAATAAACTTTTAACTATTATTCTTTCGATTCCTACTCTAACTTTCGATTTTGTGTGCCACGCCCTTCTAATTGGACATCGAATTATTTCTCATTCACCTCTTCGCGTTATCGATCAATCACATGTTTCTCGATTTTTATTTCTTTCATTTTTCGATAGCTTTTCTCGATTTCCTCCTATCACTAATAAAATGAAATTGTATAAAATCTTTGTGAGTTATTCAATTGAGCCATTATTTTTTATTTAAAAAAAAAAAACAAGATCGAAATAATCTTCTCTACAGTCTCATCACTCAAGTGATTAATTTCGTGCTTGAGACAAGAGACTCTAAAAATGAGATTTTTACTCGTAACTACATTTTTCTTTGAGGGAACAAATGATTGGTTAAACAAATAAAAAATCATAATTATATAGAAAGTTGATAAGTTGTTCTAAACCCATTGAAAACTAATTAAAATTAATTTTATTTTATTTTTTTAAAACATAATCAACACTGCCCTTTCTCTGGAACGAAATAATATATTCAATCAAATTTTAATACTGTAATAACATCATTACAATTATCGAAACATAACTTCTTAATAATAATACACTCCTAAAGACTTTCCTCTAACCAAGCATAATATTCACATATACCAATCCTATTTTAACATAAAAGTATATGAGTGTAATTTCTAAGAATTCAACACTTATAACCAAGTCAATTACAAAATATTCAAAATTCTATCCTATTGTACTTAGAAAATGTAAACTAACTTCCTTTATTTGAATTTTTTTTCGAAAGTGTAATTTCAAAGATGAACTATTTTCACAAGAAATCCAAACTTATCTAAAAAAAAAATCTGAAATATCAAATCGAACGTATCATTAAAAACATAGATTACAAAATATCCATCTTTTCCGATAAGGGTCACATAGGGATGGCAAAACGGGTCAGACTCGGCAGGCCAGCCCGCCATAATATTATGGCGGGGTGGGTTGGTGTTTTCAGCCCACCAGCCCGCTTTGGCCCGCCCACCAACCCGCCGGGTCAACCTGCGGGACGGGACGGGCCAGCCCGCGGCCCGCCTAATTAATAAAAAAATAATTTTTTATTGTAATAAAAATTAATTATAAAGATAATATATAAAGTTAAAAATTTTAAAAAGAGAATTAAAAAAGTTTCACTCTCACATAAAATATTATCCTGAAACACAACATTCTCTCCTGTTCTCCTTGTTCTCCTTAAACACTCGATTATTTTTATTCTTATGACTTGAATTAAATGTGTAAGAATTACTCAACCAAAAATAATGTGAAGTTTTATCAAATAAAAAAATATAGGTATTTGAATTTTTCAATATAAAAAATATAAATTTTATAAGATTTAACATTATATATATATATATATTTGTTATTATTTATTATTATGTAAATTTTATTATTGTTCTAAATTATAATTTCTTAAAATAATATATTGATTTATATTATTAAATTGAAATAATATATATATATATATATATATATTAAATTATTGACGGACAAATAATAATCTTATTATTAAATTTATTAAAAAAAATATTTTAAAAAATAAATTATTTTTTCTAAATTATGCGTGGCTAGACCATTATCAGCCCTTAGTGGTGAGCCAAGGTCTACGTACAGTTATGACTATATCGAGCTAGCCCATCACTGCTTTTGGCGGGCCAAAGACAGGTGAGCCCAAACAGACGGGCTGACCCATTTTGCCATCCTAGGGTCACATACTAGAGATTGCTATCCACATGCAACCCCTTCTCGTGGTTCTAATTAGTAAGAATTTGTCTACTTTATGCTAGCTCCACTAAAATGGGTTCAAATCTTCATAATGGCTAATGAGGGATAAAAAAATCTTAAAAGGAAGATAAAATAATATATATTTTAAAGAGATAATAATTTAATGTAAATAAAAATTGAAAAATAATTTTTTTATATTTTTCATTTAATTAATAACTCCTAATTTTTCATTTTTTTTTAAGTCAAAATATAAATAATCTTTTATCTGTTTAAAGACAACTTTACAATCCGGACTTAAAAATGTCTTTTAATTATAGTTAAGATGGAAAGCGTACGAAATAAAATAAAAGATAAATTAAATGATAGTTTTTATTGAAGGTGATTCCTAAAAATATTAAACTATTATGCCAGTATTTCATTAAAAAAAAAGAGAAAGAGAAAGAAAACTAAAATAATAATTTTTGTTGGAAAAGTAAAAGAACAATAAAACAAACTTAATATTTAAGATTATTTAGTTTTAAAATAATAATATTATTATTACTATTAATATTTTTTTATTATTGTTTGTCATGATAATAAAACAATAGGAGGAGAAAGGGTCTTGAGGACACATGACACTATGAAATTTTAGGTGCAAGCTAATTGGAACTTATAATTATGCTCCTCGCACACATGACACTATGTTACCATAAAAGAGAGTAACATTTTATCTTCATAATCTCATATTCACCTTCATCATTTCCTATTTCAGAGTTAAAAAATGGACAAAAGATGATATTTAAAATTTACAGAGACCGATTAGATGATAAGTATATGTAAAAAAAGGTTATTTAATGTTTTAATTATAAAAGTAATTTTGATCTTATTATCAAAATTATATATATATATATATATATATATATATATATATTATAAACATTAAAGATATTAAAAAGAATTTTTGAGATTTTTTTATAAATCCCCTTAATAACTAAGTATTTGGAGGAGTCGTGACACTATTTTGATTAAAAAAAATTGAATAGAATTTTCAGCAACAATGATATATTTATTATATTTTATAGTTATTTTGATTTAATTAAAAAATTATGTTATATATACATATTAATTTATTAGAAAATATAATAGCAAATTTTAATAAGTAATTAGTATTTATATTAAATTTCTCTAATCAACAAGAGAATATATCATTGGTGATTTATTTTTTTAAGAACACATAATTGTCGTATAATATTGTTTATTATATTTGTTCATAATTTATTATGGTGATAAAGATTTCGTAATCTGAAATATATTTTTTCATATATTATATTTCTTAGTCTTGGATCAATTGTACTGGACATCTTATCCAGAGAAATGTTGGAGAGAGTCTTATCTTTGAATGTAACTTTTACATATATCTGTTGGAACATTTTGCTTATCATCAATTGATTCTAAACTTAAATCTTATATGATATTATGATATTATAACATTTTTAGTCTCGTCTAGTGTAGTAAATAGCTTCCTAGTCATCACTTGTTATAGTAAACATCTTTTCAAATGGATGTTAATGAGAGAGCCTTACTTCGTCTATTTAATTACATATGTATTAAATCATTTTATTTATCATAACCTTAAAAAAATACATAATTATATATAATAATAATAAACTTAAAACATCAATTCAAACTTAATTAATATTTATAAAATAATTAAATATATATATATATATATATATATATATATATATATATATATAATATAAAAACTTGATAGGAAAAACATAAATAATATATTTAATAATTTTTTACATTCAAAATATACATGCAAACCATAATATTAATTTTAATATTCAACAATACATAATAAAAAGTTGTTTTAAGAAAAAAATACTTTATATTTTTATTTTGAAGGAAAAAAACTTTTAAAAGTATTTTTAAGAAAAAAATTCCTTGATCCGTTTGAATTAATTTTTTAAAACAATTTTTCAATTATTGCCTAATTCATTATTATTATTTTTTTACTTAATTGAATTAAATTTGTTTTTATAATTTATATGAAATGGAAGTTCAACTAATTCATCCAATCTTCAGTTCAACCATAAAGATGAAGGACATGGTGTATTAATTATTACGATTTGACATGTTTCAAATATTTATTATCAAACTTTTCCGTCCACACGTATTAAATGATTCCTAGTCCTGTCCGTGTCCGATTGAATAAGCCGATGGAGTACTTGTACTTCTATAGTTACACTACAATTTCACAATGTGTCACATGTCAATTTATTTTATTCTTCCATATAAATATTAATCAAGGGTAAAACACTAAAAGAAAATAAGAAAAAATTACTTGTATCTGTATATTATTCAATCGATGAATGCATCGATCAATTTACTAAATTTGTGTTTAGTAATTTGAAAATTGAATTTACACAATTGATATTCATAATATAATATTCATGTTTCTTCTAAAAATTATTTTATCAATAGATATTCAAATTATTTTCAACTTTTATTCTGATTATTTAAAATATTTTAAAATTATAATCAACAAATAATTTTGTAGATATTTTTTAAAATATTTTTATATTTTTAAAAACTAAGAGTAAACAAATATCATTGTTTATTTAGAAATTTCAAAAATAGTTTTTATTGTTTTGAAAATGTTTTTACTTTTTACGTTTTAAAATCTTAAATCCCAGACCTAATAAATAATTTTTTCATTTTAAATTATACTTACCAAATTATAAAACAATTTTAAAAACCATAACTCTAATAAATGTCACTGTTTTTTAAATACATCTTTATTGACACAGAGCCTATTTTCTTGACAGACGACGGGGTAATTGAAAAAATTAATAAAATAATAATAATAATAATAATAATAATATTATTATTATTATTATAATAGAAAAATGAGTTGTCATTGACAATCAATCATTGTTGTGTTGAACAATATATCCTTGACAGTGATTTGTAGATAATCACTATTCATTCATCCGTTAACTCTACAATTTATTATAACAATAATAATAATAATAATAAATATATAAATTCAATCTACAATTTCTTATAATAATAATATAATAATAATAAATATATAAATTTAAAAGTTAGGATGAATGTTTATTGAAAATGAGTGTCAATTTATTATTAAAGAATAAATATTAAATAAAAATAATTTAATCTAAATATAATATATTCTACTCTATTTATTCAATCCAGTGAGTGAAATGGAGGAATTGAAAATGGTAAACATTGTGAGAGCATACTGCTGGTTGTTGCATTGGTTAATGAGAGCGGTGGGTTTGAGACCCTACACGGTGGAGATAGAGCCAGGGACGGTTATAAGATTCTGGGTGCCATGCGACGCCGCTTCCAACCACAAACCGGTGGTGGTTCTCCTGCACGGCTTCTGCGGCGACGGAATCATCAACTGGCAGTGCCAGGTGGGAGCTTTGACGAGAGACTACGCGGTTTACGTGCCGGACCTTCTGTTCTTCGGCGGCTCCGTCACCGATAAGGCGGAGCGGTCGCCGGAATTTCAAGCGGAGTGTTTGGCAGCGGGGTTGGGGAAGCTCGGGGTGGAGAAATGCGCTATGGTTGGGTTCAGTTATGGAGGGTTTGTGGCATTGAAAATGGCTGAGATGTACGCTGAGATGGTGGAGTGTGTGGTGCTGTCTGGCGCCGTTGTGGCTGTAACGGAGTCCATAATCTCGAGAGCAGTGGAAGGGATTGGGTTTTCGTCGTGCTCGGAGATGCTGTTGCCGACGTCCGTTGAGGGACTGAAGTTCCTTCTTTCCATCGCTGCTCACAGAAACCTCTCCTTACCCAACCGTTTCTACGCCGACTTTTTACAGGTTTCTTTCTACTCATTTACACCACACAAATCTCTTCACATCTTTCCAATTCCTGAAAATCATTTTTAAAATAGTAACTTTTTAAAGTATTCTTTTTCTGTTTTACAATGTTTAAAAATTACTATATTTTTAATTAATTTGCTAAAATAACCTCAAGGGGAGAAGAGTAATTAATTGGAAGATTATTTAAAATACAAAACTCAATCATAGCATCCCACTATCACAAAAAAAATATATATATTTAAATACTATTGTACTGTGAAGACATAATATTGGGAGTTGAAAAAAGTCTCAGAGAGAACATTAATTTATTAATAATATATTTATTTACATATTATATATTATTTGTAATTATTTAGTATTGTAATAGTAAAGATACAAATAAAAATATTAATAATTTTTTAAACACGATCAATTATATTAATAAATTTTACATAATCTTATGTCGAATACACAATTAATTATATCTAAAATTTTAATATTTTTTTCAAATATTTTGATGGAGAAATAAATAAAATTGGAAATTATATCAAATTTCACACTTTGGTAGTTAAAAACAAAAAGGCCCTGACAATGAGCAAAAAAAGAATGGAGTGGAGAGTGGGGGAGGCGATGTACTTAAATTTCCTTCCTATTTCACCATTTGACGGCAGAGTGGTAAAACGTTAGGATAAGTTGCAGATTTTGTTACGTCACATGAAAGAATACGTTAAGTTAGATGAATGTGTATATTTTTAAAATTATTTTGTAGTATACGAAATTTAACCTATAAGATTTCCTTCTATAATGTAAAAAAAAAAATGATGTTTTTTTGTCCTTTTTCATTTTTGCTATGGACAGTACTTGAAAACCAGCATTTATCAAAGAGTGAGAAATCCTCCAAAATATTCATGATATTCTCCACTAATCTCAACTTCTCCTTTCACAGCTTCCTTCCATAACAGTTACCCAGTGATTCATGTTCACTTTCAAGCATCAACATTCCTTTATAGTGCCATTTCTGGTTTCAATTCCAAAGGTAATAAATAACTAGAATGTAACTTGTTTGAGCACAAATGATTGTAGGCAATGTACTCGAATAGGAAGGAGCGAGCTGAGCTATTGGAGGCCCTAGTCATTTGTTACGAAGAGATCAACATCCCAAAATTTCAGCAGGTATAATCTTCATAATTTATCATACATTCGCCCATCTTTCGTGTCCTTCATGTCTTCATCATTTTATAACTTCAGTTTTTACTTTTCCTTTGCAGCGAATACATATTCTTTGGGGTGAGGATGACAAAGTTTTTAAAGTAGAGTTTGCGCAGAAAATGAAAGAGTAAGAAAATATATATCAAAACCATTTTCTCCTTTTTATGCTCAACAATTTTATCATTTCTATATCCTTGCTTGTGTAACATGTGACAGGAAGATGGGAAATAACGTAACATTTGAAGCGATAAAGAATGCGGGTCACTTGGTTCACCTGGAGAGACCCTGGGTCTATAACAAGTGCCTCAAGCAATTTCTTACTTGTGTTTTGCCATTGCCAGGTGTCCAAACTAAACCAACAATAAAAGTACGTCTGAGACACAGAGTTTCTTTATTACTTCCCAGCAAAACAATTAAATATTTGAGAAATTTTATTTATTCGAGCTTTTCATTTTGTCGCAGGACATAATGTGGAGTGTTTAATTTTTTATTTTGAGAAAGAGGACAAGGAAACGAATATGGGAATGCAGGGTAACGGCAAAGATTGAAGGTGGGTGTTTTTTTTTATATATATTTTTTATTTTATTGTGCTTTAGTTTATTTTTTAGTTTTTAAGGATACTATAAAATAAACTTTATAACTTGTTAAAAGTAAGTTAAATTTGTTTCATTTTATTATCTTTCTGTGTTTTTAATGTTTCTTTGGACTGTGTTTTTATCATAATGATAACTACTAAACAAATTAGACTCTACTTCTATACAACCTAGTCCTTTTGTCAGTTTGATAAGTAATTCCAATATCTTATAACCTCATAAAATTGTTTGGTACACAATATTATAGTGGTTTATAGCATTTTCAACTAATAACGGTTTGTTATTTATAATAATTAAATTAAAATAAAATTGAAAATAATTATATAAAAAAAATTAATTTAATTTTTAGATCCAATCGATTTTAATAAAAAATTATAAATAAATGTTTTTAATATAATTTATTTATAAAAAATATAATATATATTTTTTATTTCATAATTACATTAATATTAAATAATAATTATTTTTGATAAAAATATTTCCAAAAACCCCTGTCTTGTATTGAATATGATAGCACAATATATACATGAAATACGTAAACATTCTAGGCTATAATTACACTAACCATTATAGTCGGTATCCTAAATTTGTCTATTAACGAGATATGACATTAATGTGCATCATCGTGCATCATTGTCATGCCAAGCTAAATATGGAAAAAATTAATCATGTAGAATCATGGCATGATACGGTATTTGTAATCGTATATTCTATGTTTATCACCCTCCCTCAAGATGGAGTATGAAGGTTATGAATGCCCAACTTGCCTAAAAAAGAACCAAATTTAGTGGCGCCAAGAGATTTGGTGAAGAGATCAGCCAGATTGATGATGAGTGGACACATAGGAGGGTTGGATATGATTGTGTTGTATTTCATCACGAATAAGATGACAATCCACTTCAATATGTTTTGTCCGTTCATGAAACACGGGATTCTTGGCAATGTGAAGGGCGACTTGGTTGTCACGATAGAGAGTCATAGGGTCGGTGTGAGTAATGCCTAGGCTCGAAAGAAGGCCTTGAAGCCATTTCAACTCACATGTCGTGTTGGCCATAGAACGATATTACGCCTCGGCGGATGATCGAGAAACCGTATGTTGCTTCTTGGTTTTCCAGGAAACGGGGGATTGACCAAGGAAAATAAACCAACCTAGGTGAGAGATCTTCGAGTGAGAGGACAACTTGCCCGATCAGAGTCACACCAACCATAAAGACGAAGGTCACTCTCTCTTTTAAAAGCACATCCCGACCCGGCTGCCCTTTAAATAGCGTACCACGCGGAGTGCAGCCCGCCAATGCTCTCGACGCGGTTGGTGCATGAATTGAGATAGGACATGAACACCGTAAGATAATTCAGGTCGTGTAAAACACAAGTAAATAAGGCGACCGACGAGACGTCGATATTGACTCGGGTCGAGAAAGTAGTTCGCCATCGCCCAATGCTAAACGATGATTTTCTTCGATTGGCGTGGACACGAGTTTCCCTCCAAGCAATCCCGCTTCAGCTATGATGTCCAACGCATACTTCAGTTGACACAAGAAAATTCCTGTAGGAGATCCGGCAACCTCCACCCCAAGAAAGTATTTTAATTTCCCTAAGTCCTTCATACGAAAACATTGATGAAGATAATCTTTGAATTGCGCAATGTCTTCATGATGATTGCCAGCAATGACTAGGTCATCCACGTAAACTAACACAACCAGTTCGACATCTCCTTTGCGAAAGATGAACAAGGAGTGATCGGACGAAGAACGTTGAAACCCATATTGAACAAGAGCGGTTGAGAGCTTGGCAAACCAACACCGAGGAGCTTGACGAAGACCATAAAGGGACTTGCGGAGACGACACACCATACCCTTTTGAGACACCAAGAACCCCGGCGGCATTTTCATGTACACATCTTCCTCAAGATCGCCGTGCGAGAAAAGCATTATGGACATCCATTTGATGGAGTTCCCGGTCTTTGGCTACTGCCACTGCCAACACTGTCCGAATGGTGACCATCTTTGCCACTGGGGCAAAGGTCTCGTCATAGTCAATCCCCTCAACTTGGTGATTTCCCAAGACAACTAATCGGGCTTTGAAGCGTTCAACGCTCCCATCGAATGATATTTGATTTTATAAATCCACTTGCAACCCGGAGGCATCTTCCCTACCGGTAGAGGAGTAATGTCCCATGTTTCATTACTTTGGAGGGCCCGAATTTCACTAGCCATGGCATCTCTCCATCTAACATCCCGAACGACTTCAAAGAAATGCACGAGTTCTCTCTCCGCATGAAGGGCCGCAAGAAAGGTTCGGTGGGGGAAGGAGAATTTAGCACAATTTAAGTACTTTGTCAAACTGTAAGACATACCCGAGGAAGTCTGAATGTGGAGTGCGAATTGAGGGACCAGAGTTGTAAAGTGGTGTTAGTGACATAATCACGAAGCTTCACGGATGGCTTTCGTACACGAAGACCTTTCCCCGGGGATGCGGGGACGGTATGCTCCTCGGGAACCTCTAGTTCCGTCATCATAGAGTCGGTTTGTTCCGGTGGGAGAACGATCCGGGTGGGAGGCTCTTGTTCATGGCATTCGGCGTGGCCCTCCCCGAACTCGGTTGTGGGTACATCTTCGTTGTGGGGTTAACGTCATCGGTCTCCACAACGTGTTCCGCATGGTTCATTGCACCAAGTCCAGGCAATGCTTCCTCGACAATGCCAACATCAACGAGTAGGCAATCCTACCTCCGAATGTCTACCGTGGGCAAGAGAGGCAAACGGGAATTCATGTTCTACAAACTTAACATCTCTCGAAGTCCGGAAGACTTCTCTTTCCGAGATCAAACAATTTCCAACCCTTTTTTCGATTGAATATCCAACAAATACATTCTTGCGACTTCTACTTGCAAATTTGTCACCTTTCCTATCTTGGTTATGTGCATAACACAAGCATCCAAATACCCGTAGATGGTCATAAGTGGGTGGCTTCCCATTCAATATTTCATATGGAGTTTTTCCATGGAGAACGGTTGAGGGTGTACGATTGATCAAGTATCCTGCGGTCAAAATGCATTCTCCCGGAATTGAAGTGGAAGTTCTCCCTGAAATCGTAGAGCACGAGCTACATTTAGGATGTGTCGATGTTTTCGTTCGGCTCTCCCATTTCGTTGAGGTGTTCCGAGTGCATGAGGTTTGATGGAGTATCCCATGTTGCTGAAAATATCGTTGAAGACACATAAACTCGGTTCCATTGTCACTTCGTAATATTTTGACTTGTTTCTCGTATTGTCGTTCTATTAAGGCGATGAAATGCATTAAAGTTTGTGACACATCTTTCTTATTATTCAAGAGATATATCCACATAGCTCGAGAACGAGTCATCAACCAAAGTGAGAAAGTAAGATGCACCACAAGACGAGGGAGTTCTATATGGACCCCATAAATCACAATGTATTAAATCAAATATATTGGATGCTTGAAAATCACTTAAAGGAAATGTGTTTACGCATTGCTTTGATCTCTCACACACTTCACACACATGAGTTGTATCAGTATTTCTATTCACGCTGTTCGGATGCGGAATTTTTCTAACAATCTGGTAGGCGGGATGTCCCATTCGCTTGTGCCAAATCTCTAGTTGATTTTACTGCATTGGTACGATACGCCTTTATGCCACTCACACCACGATACCAATAGAGTCCCTCTTTTCGTTCACCAGCTCCAATCAGCATCCTCGAAGTGTGGTCCCGCATTGCACAAAATCTATCGATAAAATGTCCTGTACATTTTACTTCATTCGATCAATTGTGATGCTCGAAATCAAATTGCAATTCAATTTCGAACATATAGAACATGTTTAAGTTTCGATCCTCCATCAAGGAAAACCGATCCTTCTTTGTTTGCCAGCACCAATTCACCATTTGGTAGTCCCACTGGGCACCCTTCCAAGGCTCGACTCTCCCTCAAGTTTTCTAGTGTTCCTGTCATATGATTAGAGGCGCCACTATCAATAATCCACAAGTCACATGCTTTCTTACCGGTCATCTTTTCAGTTTCATTTGCCTTGCGAGAATTCAACATTCGTTGTCAAGATCCGCCATTGCTCATTACTCGGTCCTGCGACTTCGGTTTTTCGGTTGAACCAACGTTATCCGCACCGGTGTGCGCCATATTGACGCGAGCCGTTCCTCCTTTTCCTCGGAAGGTTCCTCGTTCTTTGTTGATTTTTTTCATCGTTTCTATCGGTTCGTGGTCTCTCTCTCCACCATTCACGGGTAACCAATGATCTTGAAGCAATTGCCTTTGTCATGTCCCTTCCTTCCACACTCGCATGCAAACAACAGATTTTTCTTTCGCTTCATTGCGCAACTTGTTCCTGGTTTCCGCTCGCATAGCCATTCTCACGATCATTCCTCGCTCTTCTTTAGACTCTGGTGATTGTTCTCACCCTTTCTTCTTGCACCATGGTGCCATACACCCGATTCAACGAGGGTAATGGATCTGTTGCCAAAACATTTGACCGTGCAGTTCCATAGCCCTCATCATCTAGCCCCATCAAGAACCGATGAATTTTTTCTTCTTCTCTTCGTTTCTCAAGTTGCGTCATAATATTACACTTGCATCCCCACATCTACACCTGTGGGATTTGCTCGTAATTTGCCGAGTTCATCCCACAACGTTTTCAACTTCCCATAATAAGAAACCATAGTCATTCCTTGTTGTTTGCATTACGCCAACTCGACTTTAGCTGCTGGATTCTTGGTCCGTTCACGATCGAGAATCGTTCCTTGATGTCATCCCATAGGTCCTTTGCGTTTTCCATGTATGCAACGGTGGAACGCAAACTAGGTTCTATAGTGTTTAGTATCCAAGATACAAGCATCGATTGAATTGTCCACCAATCTTCTATCTCGGATGTGTCTTCTTCAGGTTCCTTATGAGTTCCATCTATGAAACCCCATTTCCTTCGAGC